AGATCAACCGTGTTAGATAATTTGAATGGCCTTATGCGGCTTGTATTATTAATTTTGATAAAAGGGTTATATTAATGTAATCACACTCTTTATTCATATGCTTTGGTTTAACTGATATGTAGGTGACCTCCTACATATTCCCTAGAACGCAACACAGTCACACATACACGCACATACACCACACGCATACACGCACACATAAACACGGGTGCATGACGAGTGGTCGACGTCACGTCGATTTGTTGACCTCTGATTGGCAAATTCGAATTGCAACGCACAGCTGAGCGGGGGTCACTGACCGGTTTTGCATACGCGCAAAACGACAGTGGAGTTCCGCAGCGCCCGCGATATACCACGCTTTCGATTACGCAACTTGTTACTTTGTTATCCGAATTTGTGCATTTCTCTTTCTCCTACTTGTATTCTTCTTCTCAGTGTTGTACTCTCCTTCTTACTATTTGTTGTGGACTGTGAGTGATAATAAACTGTGTTGTGAATATAACTGTGCCTCATTTCACCTGTCGCTGCACTCACCCTTCACATCATCATCATTCACACCTTACCACACAGGAGGTGACACCACGTCATCACCTTCCCCTTCATTGGTGACCCCGAAGAACATAAAGATGAGCAACACCGAAGACGAATTCCAGGAGGCACGGATTTTGCAAAATGAACCTTCAGCCCATGTGTGTAAGGTCGGAATTCGCATACCACCGTTTTGGCCGGAGGAACCCGAGATATGGTTCGCACAAGTTGAAGGTCAGTTCAGCATTGCTGGCATCACTAATGACTCGACCAAATTTAATTATGCCATTGGTCAGCTCGGAAACCTGTACTCCAAAGAGGTCAAGGATTTAATTATCAATCCACCCTCCACCAACAAATTTGAAAAACTGAAAACGGAGCTGATAAAAAGACTGACTGCATCCAAAGAAAAGAAGTTGACGCAGCTGCTGATGTATGAAGAGATGGGTGACAGGAAGCCGTCACAGTTTCTTCGGCACCTTGAGAGCTTAGGCGGGTCGCAAATCTCAACCGACTTTTTGAAAACAGTTTGGGTCAGCCGGTTACCTACCGGCATTCAAACAGTATTGGCTGGACAGACTTCTACCACGATTGAAGCGATGGCGGATATAGCAGATAGGATCAATGACCTTGTTCCCTCGACACCTCAGGTGGCATCAACCAGCCGACAGAGTGAGAACGTCGAGTTGGCCAGGGAGATCGCTGCTTTACAGGAAGAGGTCTTACAGCTGGCCCTCAGACAACGAAGCGGCAACTCAAGCAGCAGGTCCCGACTACGCGATCGTCAGCATTCTTCGTCGAGATCCCAATCCCGCTACCGGCGCCACCCAGTCTGCTGGTACCACTTTAAGTTCGCCGACAAGGCGACCAAGTGCTGCCCTCCATGTAACTTCAAGTCGGAAAAACTCCAAAGGCAATCGGTAACGACGACCGACGATTGCCCCTCTTCAACTGGTCGCCTGTTCGTCACCGATCGCAAATCCAAGACACAGTTCCTGGTCGACACTGGGAGCGACCTCTGTGTCTTCCCGCGGTCGCTGCTGCGAGAGCGTCGTGCCCGGACTACGTATCAGCTAAGTGCCGCTAATGGTTCTTGTATAAACACTTACGGTTATGTTCATTTAAAACTTGACTTTTGTTTACGTAGAACTTTTAAATGGCGTTTTGTTGTTGCCGATGTGACTAAACCT